CTTATCAGACCCAAAAGCTACAACTCTTGTTGCATAGGTCCTGCTTTACCTTGGTCTTAACCATCCAGCAGAAAAGTATAAAAACAAAATATAAGAAGTAAAGCCATGCTGTTATGTTGAGCTGTAGGGGACTCAAGTCAACAATTTCTGACACTGCCAGTGAAGCGGAAGACCCAATACTATTATGGACTACTGGACTTGTTTAGAATATTTTGCTGAGTTAACACACCTATAATATTCAAATAATGGAACTAAACAAAAAAAAAAGGGGATACAGATGAATGTCCATTTTGTATCTGTGTATTTAAACTGGTTAAGATAGATATATAGTTACATTCTCTTAATGAATAGAGGGATTTGTTCTAATAGTGTTTGTAAATAGGATATCATGTCTGCATTTTATACAGCAATTAACCACTAGGAACAATGTATGCAATATGTTAATTATTGAAACTGTCCTACCAATTTGGTTTGAAACTGTCTCATTGCTATTTGTTTCTCAATAAGATTATGGGGAAATAAATAAATAAATAAATATTAAAAGAGGGACTGGGGAGATAGTTTGCAATATAAGCGCCTGCCTGGGAGGCACAAGGACTGGAGTTCGATCCCCACTACTGCATGTGGTGCTGGTCCCATGCTGAGCAGGCCAACAAAACTAAAACCAGGCACAATGGTACATGCCTGTAATCTGGTGCTGGGGAAGCTGAGACAGGAGAATCACTATGAGTCTGAGCTGGAAGGCGAGACCCTGTAGCAAGTAAATAAATAAATGTTTTAAAAATTTAGAAAAATAAATATTAAAAGAGAAATGCTAAAAAAAAAATAAAATAAAAGAGAAATGCTAAATGTACTAGAAGAGAAAATAGATAGAGATCTAAGATATAGATATAGGCAGAGACCTCATAAACAAAACCCAGACGGCAAAAGAAATAGTATAAAGACTGAATAAATGGGATCTCACCTTATTTAAAAGTATTTTTACCAATGAATGAAATTACCAACAGAGTGAAAAGACAACCCACAGACTGTGAAAAAAAATTATAGCTAGTTGTCCTTCAGAAAAAGGACTTTTATCTAGTATATATATGGAATTGAAAACAAATCAGACAACCCAAATTCAAAGACCCAATCTGAAAATGGGCATCTGAGATGAATATATACTTCTCAGATGAAGAAATATAAATATTAAATAAATACATGAAAATATGTTCAACATCATTGGTCATTCAAGAAATGCTAATTAAGGGGCTGGTGAGATGGCTCAGTGGTCTAAAGTACCTACTTAGAACAAGCTTAGCAAAGCACAGGGATCAAGGTTCAATCCCCCAGCACCACATGCCAGCCAGCCCCGCCCCCTGGTGGGCTGAGCTGGCCACACACACACACACATACATAAAAATTTTTTAAAAAAGAAATGCAAATTAAAACAATACTGAGATTTCATGTCAATCCAGAAAAATGGCTATTGTCAAGAAATCAGCCAATGCAAAATGCTGGCAGGGCTGTAGGCAAAAAAAGAACCATTCTCCACTGTTGTTAGAGTATACACTGATGCAACCACTGTGGAAATCAGTGTGGAAAGTCCTTTAAAAACTAGGATTAGAGGGCTGGTGAGATGGCCCAGTGGTCTAAAGCACCTACTTGGAACAAGCTGGGCAAAGCACAGGGTCCATGGTTCAATCCCCCAGCACCACATGCCGGCCAGCCCCGCCCCCTGGTGGGCTGAATTGGCCACACACACACACA